CCGTAACCGCGGCTACGTTCGGCGACTGACTGTCGCCTCAAGTCCAAGCTCATTATCACAACTCTCGAACAATTACAATCGGATTGAATAACTACAATTGTTCAATTACGGACTCCGGTGTTCTTTCATCTCCGACATATATATGTATAATTTTACAAGAATTGAAACTCAAAACGCACAATTTAATGTAAGCTTGGTTAGGAATAAAGCATTTATTGGATAAAGTCTCTATTGGATTAAGACTATAATTCTCGCCACGAGTTTAGCACGACGTATAAACTAAAGGGTTAGAAACTGTGGCCTTACAAATTGTTTCATAAAAATGACTTTTATTTCAACATTTGTGGCAACATCGACCGTTGAAGGCTTCCGATCGAAAACTATTAAAAGAATCGAAATATTCAGGAAAACCATCTACAAAATATATGTATATTTCCTTGGAATTAGTCTCCGTAGTATTCCAATACCATCAGCATTCCTAACGGGACATCCAATAATATTAATTATACCCAAGTGAGTTCTAGCGATCGAAACATGTTCGAATGTACATGTAAACGTGTGTATCGTTGGACGACAAGGCACGGGCGTTTCCGATCTCATGGGACATAAAAAAAAGAAAAAAAAAATTGGAAAATTCGATTCGCGGAGCAGTCGAATTGGTAGGGTTCTTTCTATTTTTACATGTTGGATTCCGCGAAATGGAACCGAAATCCTTATGGCTGGGAAAACTCCGTGGAGGATTCCGAGGCTGAGGAAACTTTCCCGAATTTGTTTGCAGAACGACGTAGAACTCGAATGTACTTTCGGGTCATCCATAATTTCACGCCAACGACGATACGCGACAGAATCGATATCTGTGTTTAAGTTATCTACTAAACGCACGCGGTTTTCTTTGAATCTTCTCAACTTTTAAGTTATCGATTTCGATTAATTGGCACCGTACGTCTTATTAATTCTACCGAACCAATTAGCGATAGAGGAGAAGGAACGTTGTTAAACAATTTTCAACATTGAGATGGAACGATCTTTTGTAGAGAATTTGGAACAATTCTTTGAAGCGAATTGTGGCGTATCACCGATAGATTTGCGTCTGTGAAGTAGAAATCTTTGCTAGATTTACTCACACATTACTTCAATCTCGTGTACTTGCGTGGCATGTCCCCAGGGAGCTGGTCGAGACGCTTGGCATACATATTCTCCGGTATCGTTCCGTTTCACGTGAGAAACCTCCAAGCTTCTGTTTGAGTACATTTTAACTCTTTCAGGTGGTTCGTGTCGTGGTTCACCGCTGTCAGCCAGAAGGATGCCATCCCTCCACCACCTCACTCTCGTCTGTACGTTATCTAGGCATATGAGTTTGTTGTATGCACGAAAGCGGTTCAATCTATCTTAAATTCAATATGAAAAACTTTCTGTTAACTTTCTGGATAAATTTGTTACTATATGCGTTCGCGTATAGCAAAGTTATAAAGTTACTTGGCAACTCGGTTTCTACGATATTCAATCGTCTAAAAATAGGGACAACGTATGCTGACACGACTCTATGCAGTTTGGTGAACTCTCAACCGATAAGTAACCAAACGGGCAAACCAAATACCTTTTCTCTGACCCAATTTGCCATAAATCCTAGCTCGATAGAATATCGAGGGCATAGTTCGGCAACGGTGGTACCGTAGTTATGTTAGAAACCGGAGGAGCGAGGCGTATAATCCGAAACAAGTCCTTAATCCGTGGCGATCTTACGGTCGTTTTAACGTTCGTGGCCTTCTGTCTAACTCGCGGCAGGGTAAAGTGAATGTCTGACAGGCAATCCCGTTAAGCGAAACCATCGATGACAGGTCGATCGATTGTACAGTAAATTGTTTGCGTTCTATACCAGTACACGAGTGTCGCGAGTGGACGCGTTCCTGCTTAGGGAAATTAACATCGATCGTTGTCCGAAATTGCGGCACCGTCTCTTTACCCTCGATTCTCGATCGAGTTAATAGTAAATGTACCATATAGTACCATATTGGTTAAAACGAAGGTCTAAACACGCGATCTATTTCCTGTTAAAAGTATCTTCCGAGCGTTCGCTATTATTAAAACAGCTATGTTGATAATTATATTTGCCATTAAATAAATAGGAATAAATATTATAACATGTAGATACTTTTCGTAAGTCTCACTATTGAATTTGATCAAATTATTGGTTGATAAGAGATTCATTTATTTACGTTGATTATTTTATTTTATCACGAAGGAAAGGTTCTTGTTTTCCCTCCTCTGCATACGAAAAGACGACAGTCGTGATTTAACGAATCTAAAGTTACACCGTTGTTATGGTTTACGAGATGCAACAGGTGATAATTGTTTGCAACTGTCGCACTGGGAGAGTTAAGTTCTTCATAATCTTCTTGTGCATGCCTCGACCGTTTTTAATTCGCTCGATCTTTCCAGCTTGTTAATACATAAAACAATCGATCGCACTTGTGATCGTCTTCGCGTGGCAAATATTCTTCTGTGACTTTAATGAAAGACACTTAAGGGTGGAAAATATATCGAAGCGACTTACCAAGATCTTCGACGTAACAGGGAAGCAGGACCGTGTCATTTTCAAAGGTCTTCACCGTTGTAGGATAACTTTTGAAGCCATTGTTTGCTGCTGCTCGACTACCTGTAATAATAAATTTAACAAATTCGTACTTAACGATTGGAGGATTTGCAACAATAAGGAGACACCAGCAATACTTAAATTGTATTTATCGGAAGGGCGAAGAAAGACCTCGATTTTACATCCAAAAGTGTAAAAGTTCATTACCACGAACATTAGTTGACTATGAATTTACAGCACATTTCAAGAAGTCATTTGATTTTGATCGATATTGAGTAGGTTTTTGTTGGTTTACTTAAATTATTGGAAAGCGAAGCTTCTGTTGATCGATAAAAAATTGCAGCAACTATAGTATATCGAAACAAATATTTTTATGATTAACTTCAGTTGCAATTTTCACTTTTTATTGATCCTTAACAACTTTGTCAAACCCTAACTGCAGGGTGACGTTATAAAATTTGCTTCGTAGGTTCTATAAAGGCAGTGGCGCAACCGTGTTTTCGCGCGGCACGTTGGAAAGTTAAATGCAGATTTCCTATGCATTATGTATGCGCAATTTTCGCGCTGCGTGCAACGGCACGCCGTCGGGCTATCAGGTAACCGAACGTGAGTACAATTCACTTTCTTGTTCAAACGGGCTGCATTTCCGGCAAACGTGGCAGATTATTTATTTTTTTAATTAAAATCGCACCCCGCTCTCATAAAAAAAAGAGAGAGAATATTAGTAAAGAGCGAAAACGGGAGGGCAGAAACAGTATGGAAATGAAATAAACAGAGCAGAAACAATTTCGCGAAAATTACAGCAGTTATTGTAAACTCATTTCTGTAGCTATCACATGGCCGCGTTTGCGAATAACAAATAATCCCATTGCCTCGAAGTGAACCGAAAATAAACGTGGAAACAATCAGTTCGACGGTGAATTAATTTTAATAAATTTAATCGGGGAACCAGCAAGGAGATTGAGCAAGTTGCCCGAAAATTGAACAAAGCTTTAAATTTTGAATTATATTCAATTTACAGGATGAAAATTTTAGCCCGTCACCATGCATTGTACGAAACAAAAATTACGAATTGCACGCACCTCATGAAATTGTCTGTCATTTTGATCTATTTTCCCGAGGATAACAACAGGGTGTTCAAAAATTATTTGTTATGGCTTTGAGAAATAATTCTATCCCTTCGGATCGGTGGAGATCTGTTTAAAAAGGTGGCCGAAAAATTGTACTTGAGCATGTTTTTTAAGGTCGAATTCTTTTTTCTATTGCTACGCGTAGTATTCATCACGAGGAACAAAAGTCTCAGAGGAACCATGGGTCGTAGACGAGTACCGACGAATACTGCGCGATTTAAAAAAAGAATTTCAAGTTGAAGATCATGTTCAAGATCAGTTCTGCGATCGCTCTTTTTAAACAAATATTTATCGATCCGAGGATGTAGAATCAGAATAATAAATCAAAATAAGTTTTGAGCACCGTGTATATGTAAATACGTACGATTGTGCTCGATGTACCCACTGATAGAAAAATCCATGTACTGTCGGAGTTACGCGTGTCAAAGCTTTTTCACAGTCAGTTGCTTGATCTCTATTATTGTTGATTTCAATTAAAACAACGCCAGTGGCAGCGAAAGATGGAAATTTAATCTTTTTCAGGTGCGTTTTCACGTTTCGACGATGGTTTCTTCGATTTGTGCATGAACGATCGTCAAAGAACAAACAGAAGATAAATACTGTAGTTTGAGAATTATGCTTAAACGCAAACAGTTTTCAAATAGCCGATTACGTAATAAAACCAATGAAAGAAATTATTCAGTTATTTCGAACTAAATCTATGTACCGGTTTTTACAAACAACATGGACGCGTGTATATAGATTTACAGAAAGGTGGAAGCGCAACTCGGAAGGAAAAATACGTGTGTTTCGTGAAATTTACTGCTCACCTATGATAAAAATGCAAAACATCCAGCCAAAGACCACCATGTTATAAAAACATGCATATACGTTCCACCACCCTCGAACCGCGAGATATACGGAGAACAGGAAACGATTCAGAATGATGTCCGTGGTATATGCGCGAACTCTTCGACTTTTCACGAGACACTGATCTTGTACTAAGATGGTGATCGTGTTCCTACGATCTTAACGCACACACACGCACGCTCACGCACACTTGTCGTCCAACGTAATTATGACCAGTGGGCCATTCTGCGATTCAGGGATGCTCATATCGTCACCCATAAAGTAATTTGTCTTCTCCGCTTGACCGTTTAGAAGCGTTTCAAGCAACGATGTTCGGACGAAACCTTTGAAAGGAATCGTCGAAATATTAAAGTCATCGTTTTAAAATTACATTTTATCATTTTATAGAAATTGGCATAATGATACTTTTCTTCCTAAATGGTTAACGAGTGTCTTGCACTGAAGATTATTTTATACCTTCAAAACATCGATTTTTTTTTTTATAAGAAAATGAAATCGCTTGGTAATGCGCGTGAAGTTAGAACAAGGGATTCTATTCTGACTGAGAACCGTCACACCCTATTGCAACGCTGCCACTATGTGCACACATGCATAGGGTGTCCATTTACCAACACCAAAGGCATTCTTCTATAATTTGTTCAATTTACGCACCGACACGTACCATACATAGAGTCATTCATCGAGTTATCCATTAAATCGTTAATCTAATATGTGAATCGACGGCCCGTTTTAAAAGGAAGCGACAAACCGTGTACTCTGTCATGATCGTAAACAAATGAAAATGTCATCGTCACTGTTACGCCTTAATCCCATGAAATAGTCTTAAGCAGGGACGAAATTAACCCTCCAGTTGAGGGTAAAAGGGATGATTTGTCTTTTGTGAGTATTCACAGAACAAATGAGCTCTCTGCTTTCAACGTAATAACATTTTTTCCCTTTATTTTCTTTTCTTCTTTCTTTCTTTTCTATTTTTTCTTTTTTTTTTTTTTTGTTGGTTGTCAAAAAGTCGTTCACAAGTGCACTTTGAACTGCGTAAGTTGGGAACGTGACCGACGTAATCCAATAAATCGGCGAGGCTGATTTTACTTTCCCCTGATGGAAGGAGTAACAAAAAGAAGTTGAAGTGAACAACGAAAAAAAAAAGAAAAAAAAGGAAGGAGGAAATCGACCATTTCGAGGCACTTTGAAGCGGAATCATAAAGAATTAACAACGAAACTTTTGCATAGAGATTATGTCTAATTGCATTTTAATCTTCCTCTATTCTTGCTTTGACGACTTATTGCCTCACCGGGACCTGCATAGAACGTTCTTAATTATTTAACGCTGTTCTCTATCATAAAACGAGCACGTAACATTTACGCATCGGAACAAAATAGAACTAGAATAGAAATAGAACTAGAAAATTGTCATATCTTTATTATTTTATCAACTATCATATCTTCCTTGATCTCGAGATACATTAATTTATTGTTCGCTCGAAATATATCTGACAACGAAATTCACTGAAACGATATTTGTTTCTATAATTGATTATGAGTGACGGTTTCTCCCGCATCTGACAGCAATCCTGTAGATCTTCCGTTTCTATCCAAATAACAGGTCGGTATATAATTTCCACGAAAATCGTATTAAACGCTTCGTTGTTTTCATATCGTCCATTAAAATTGGATGTTCCAAAGTTTATCTGTATCTTTTGTACCATTTACTCGTATTCATTGAAGTCTGCCAGTTTCTGTGATATTTTTCTACCATTGAAATGATAATAAAGAATATAAGGACAAAAGGCAGGGGATTGTATGTACCTATCGAAGATATAAAAGTGGTTGGTTTAATGGGCATCGTCGACGCAGATAATGCCACCGCATCGCATTGTTCACGCATTATAGACCGGGTAATAAGCTAACCAACGCTCAGTATGATGCGTTGATAATATTATGTTAGGCAGAATGAATTTCATTCAGGCATTGACGTTATCGGTAAACGGGGCAATCCGTTCACGATGGCCAGTCGACTTCTACAAATAACGCAAAATTAACGGAAGATTTTGATAAACGTCACTCAATGCGTTCGGAACGTTTTGAACAGATCTGTGCAAACACGTCGCGCTCCAGTGACAGATTTAAATTGGCCATACGTTTTAACTGTGCAACGCGAGATTAATTCCGAATAATGGTTTAATAGCATAGAGTTTGTCGTTCGCTAACGCTGGCGAAAAGTCTCTGATCCTTTTTTCACATTCTGACGGACATACATTGATATTGAAAACGCGTATTATCAAAAAAAGAAAAAAAAAAGAAAAACAATGAACAAGTAAATAGCATGATAAATCGGTACAGTACACGGAGAGGGATAACAGATTTTCAACGGCAACCTACATTTTATTAAAACGTCGTTAGACATCGATCTTAATTTACAATTCAAAACTCGTGAGCGATATTTTATGCACAGACATGAAAGTTCTTTAGGTAAGTTTTTACGCTCATTTTCCCCGATGCTTTATGTGCCTTAACCTTTTCATGTAAATACAATAAAATTTGATATGACCATCTTTCCACCATATATTGTTATTCGGAACTATTATCGCATCTGAATAATTTAAAAAAACTCGTTTAGGATATTTCAATTTAAGTCTTCTACAGAGGTCGAAACTTTCTAGGATCTTAACGAATTTCCACGACTTTTTCTTGGAAGTTACGATATACAGTAACTTTGGAAAATAGTCAGATTCTTTTATGAATATATCGCGTATGTTATACGAAACATTTTGATACTTCATTATCGTTATAACGGACTCGACTATCATGGTTATATTGATAAAGTTTGAAATAAATCTGAAAATGTACATAAATAATTGATTATCCACTGTATTAACAAGTCTCGATATTCAGTGAGACATTTATATTACTTTACTCATACTATTATATATGTTATACAAACCAACCTAATCCTTGTCTTTTGTGTATAATTTATATAGGTAGTAGCTGTATACATTTACCCAACTGACGCTTCTACTGTAACATATATACTTTCACGAGCCACTATAAATTGTACCTCTATAAACAACGAATATTCCGGGTAAGACATTGTTTCAAAGATACTTGTCGCGAAACATCCCGAGGCGTTCCTCGCTGATAAATATTCATAGTCTCAATGAAATTCGTTGCCACAAAACGTAGCTGAACAAATACCGTCAGACGACGCGAAGTCGCCGCCTTTCCTTTTCTTCGACGTACCATCCAGTTGCCACTGACAAATTGCGCAAATCGCCTACAGCGACACGCGTTCTCGCTTTTTTCTCGCCCCGAAAACCAACGCGTTTCTCCTCCGCACGCGATTTACTGACACGCTGTCGATCATTTTTTCAATTGTCCACTATCCATAACGTGACCCGTAATCGCGCGTTTTTATCGTTTTTGATGGCATCGGCGGATTTATCGTCGAATAGATGGACGAGGATGTTAAAAAGTTTCTCCCGCATCTTCCTTCAACGATGCTTTTTTTAACTTCGAATTTGAATAGGTCTCTTCGTGCTTTAATAGACCTTTAACAGAATTACGTGTGTCGTGCACTTTAACCGCTTTATTGTGCCGCGCTTATCATTGTAATAATCGAAATAACTCGTCCAGTCGGAGTTAGTTTCCACGTATCTCGTCTAAGTATTAAAAACTGGTCGGAGTACTTTCACGTAATAAGTGGCTCGTGCAATCTGACCTCATGAATAATGCACGCGGTGTACACGAAAATCGGTTTGTAGTTCGCTCGATAATTCGTCGTTTCATGGCTTTTTAAATCAATCCTCAAACGCTGCACACGTTGTTCGCCTCTTCCGTCCAAATTTTCGAAACGTTTATCCTTTTAATTTCTTTTGTGCACCCATATGAAATATTCGCTCGACTAGGGTTCTTTGATTACTTATGCACGTTTAAATAATCCCGCGTATATTCGATATTTCCGGCGGAAGGGTTGTAAGGAAATATCTTGGACCCTGTAGACTGTATGCAGTTGTTTTCGATTCAATGTTTGGCCTCGTTGGAGGAAGAGAGATACGAGAAGGTGAAACGTAGGGCGAGAATAATCCTCCCCTCTTGGCTTGGGATGATTGCACGCGTGTTCGTACGAATCCATGTGAATATGCTTAATCCAACGTGAAGAAGACACTTTAGAGCGGTTCTCAATTATCTGATACGTTCACTAAAGTGACATAGAAGGCCTGTTAAGTTGATTGAGAAATTCGCTGAGAGGTCAATGAATTCGAAGTTGCGTATTTTTAACGAGACGTTGAGGGATTGTTGATAAATACAAGAGATAGAGATTTATTCTAATGGTTATCATTTAAGAACAGCGATAAATATTTTTTACAAACAAAGCATATTTTTGTCAACACAAGAAATAGAATTTATGCAGAAATTTGTTTCGTCTATTGAATACTACAACGAGTACTCCACTTTAGATATTTTATCGTATAGTCTCATACGTTGTGTAATATTCTGTACATTTTCGCATTTTTTGAAATTTCCCATAAATGCCTAAAAATATACAATCCAACGATAATTTAAATAATGTTGAAATTTGCATTTCGTACGCTTTTAAAAATATCGGCTAAAGCTTCGGTTGTCGTAGTCGTCTTGGAAAATACTTTATTCGCATACTGCTCTCTGACCCTGGTGCGTTTCGTTTCGCGGTTGACAGTTGCACAGAAAGTTGTATGTTGTCATCGAGTATACGTGCGAGACCAGACAGTGACTAAAAACTCATGGTTTAATTAACGCTAATTTACCGAAGCGGTAACCCCAAGCGAGCCATCGTCGGCTGAAGCGTGTTTACAGAGGGCTCAAAGGAATATCTGCTAGTTAGGGTCGGAAATGGGATTAATTGCGCAGGTCATGTTGGCACACCGGAAATTTTTTACGCGCCGATTCCTCAACAAGCATTTTCGAATGTTACAAATATCAAATAAAACAAAAATACGTCCACGAGTATGAAAAACTCTCACTAAGTGAAAAATATTTAAAACGCGAATGAAACGCGTTTAATTTTGATCGATCGGATAGCCTATAACTAGATTTTCCATTAAGCACGACGCAAATTGGGAATACATGAAATAAATGATACCCGTATAGTTATCATTTTTCTGGCA